ATTTAGCCCATCCCCCCATGAACCTCCCCTCCAGCAACCCTCAGTTTTTTCTCTGTATTTAAGAGCCTCTTATGGTTTGCTTCCCTCCCTCTTTTTATCTTATTTTTTCCTTCCCTTTCCCTAGGTTCATCTGTTTTGTTTCTTTTTTTTTTTTTTTAATTTTTTAACGTTTATTTATTTTTTCAGAGACAGAGACAGAGCATTAGCAGGGGAGGGGCAGAGACAGAGGGAGACACAGAATCCGAAGCAGGCTCCAGGCTCCGAGCTGTCAGCATAGAGCCCGACTTGGGGCTCAAACCCACGAACTGCGAGATCGTGACTTAGGCCGAAGTCGGACGCCCAACTGACTGAGCCACCCAGGTGCCCTGCATCTGTTTTGTTTCTTAAAGAATATGCTACAAATAATAATATACAGTAAAACCTTGAATTGTGAGTAACTTGTTCTGTGAGCACTCTACAAGACAAACATTTCTAACAAATTTTAACTTGATAAATGAGCAATGTCTTGCTATATGAGTAGTACATGATGCTGGGTGTCACATGATCACAATGTTTCTTGAAATTCGCTTTGATATACAAGTGCTTTAGATTACAAGCATGTTTCCCGAATGAATTATGCTCACAAACCAAGGTTTTGCTATATTGCAATTAGAAACAGTAACTCTCATTTTGGAATATGTGCTCTATTTTCATCATAGATCTTGCCTACGACACATTGCAGACCTGTGGCCAGCCTGTGAACTTGCAGTAACAATATCCTCAAGGTCACTCCCAAGGCAGATAACATTACAACAAATTTCAATCTTCTGCACTTGGTACCTAGTCACAAGTGGCTTCTTCCTAGTGTTTAACTATAAATCTAACCCATTTAACCAAAGTCATTATGTATTTTGTGGGTTGTCCCAATGAAGGAGATAAAATTGGGTGCCTTTTCCCATCTTCATGAGAGGAGGATCTGACTATTTCATACATGGATAGAAAGTCATCGTAAAGCAAAGCAGATCTTTCTGGTTGTGTCAAAAATCACTAGGTGACTGGATAGTCATAGAAGTACAGGCCAAGATGGGGCGCCTGGGTGGCTCAGTCGGTTGAGTGACCGACTTCGGCTCAGGTCATGATCTCACAGATTGTGAGTTCAAGCCCCACATTAGGCTCTGTGCTAACAGCTCAGAGCCTGGAGCCTGCTTCCGATTCTGTGTCTCCCTCTCTCTCTGCCCCTTCCCCACTCATGCTCTATCTCTCTCTGTCTCAGAAATAAATAAACATAAAAAAAATTTAAAAAAAGAAGTATAGGCCAAGAGCCTTGTTATCCTAGGAGAAAGGTCCTAGGAGAATTTTGAGAGCTTTGTGAAAATTGGTCTTACTTCTTAGCAGAAGAATTGGTCACCAGGAAGAAAGAAGACAGTGGAACTGGCCCTTGAGGTGGTGATCCTCTGGTTCCTTCCATGGCCAGATGGCATTTGGAGAGTGTGCTAGTGAGCTGAGAACACTGATGGCCAAGAGCCCTATTACTCGGAGCTCAGACCTATTTCTCCCAAGTGTCGTCATAAGAGAATGTAATTCCTAGACACTGCTTTGCCTTCAAAACCTGGGACATTCATATCAGCATTATTTGCAATGGCTGAAAGGTGGAAGCAAACCAAGAACGTCCACTGACGGATGAAGGGAGAAACAAACTGTGGTGTATACGCACAATGGAATATTGCACAGCCATAAAAAAGGATGAGATCTTGCCATTTGCAACAACGTGGATGAACCTCGAGGGCATTATGCTAAGGAAAATAAGCCAGATACAAAAGGTCACATATTATATGATTCCATTTATATGAAATAGCCAGAATAGGCAAATCCATAGAGACACAAAGTAGAATGGTGGTTGCCAGGAGTGGAGAAGCAAGAATTGTGGACGTAGTATTGACGTACTGAGTTTTAAGTTTTGCAGGTTGCAAAGAGTTCTGGAGACCAATGGTGGTAATGGTAGTGTGTCAAGGTGAATGTACTTAATATCACCTAATTGCACAGTTAAAAATGGGTATGACAGTAAATTTTATGTTATGTGTATTTTACCACCACCCCCCCCCCCCAAAAAGAAGAAAATTAAACCTGCTGCAAAAAGTGTTCTGTTCCAGCACCTGTGAGGGCAGCCACTGCAGAGAGGTCAGTTCCCACCCCCCCAACCTGGGCCAGATCTTCACTAGAGCAGGTGGGAGCTTTGCCACCCCGTAACCCCAGTCTCTACCTTTCTCTAGAGCTGAAAGCCCGAAACTTACCCTCCAGTAACAGCAGTAAATTCATGAAGCCATCCATCTCCCCTCTCCCATGTCTAAATCCCTCCATGGGAAGTGCATGAGTGTAAGCACCGTTTGATTGAATGTGACGTTTCTTAACATGGGTAAAAGAACAATCCTTTACACATCTGGTCATTTCAGCACGCCTGTCGGCACACAAGGTGAGTAATCAAGTAAGCAGTAAGATGCACTTAACGTGAAGCTCAAAAGAAAGGTCTGTGCTGCAAACATATGTGTGGGCTTCTGGTACAGGAAGTGGATGAACACACCCTGAGAAAAATGTAGACAGAGCATGTGTCCTGGGAGGTTGTTAACTAGCAGAATGGAAATAGAGAGCGCCACCCAAGTCTTTCTAACCTGCCCACATGGGATGACCAAATTAAGAACTTGATTAAATTCAGACACTTTGGGTTGCAATGAAGGAAGCTGAACCAACAAGGGAATTGCATCGGAAATGTAGGGATTCCTGAAAACAATAGTGTGCAAAAAAGAAAAGTGAGAGAATACACAGCACCTGACTCTCTCCTGCTAGCCCTTCTATCTGCTTCTCTCTGTAAACTCACCATATCCCACAGTAGGAGACATTGCTACAGCAGCTCCTGGGCCCCATCTCTCCTAGCTTCACCACCAGAGAAGGACTGAGTGTCTTCAGAAATTTGAGGAAAGATCTGATGGATTGAACAGGGTCGTGAGATCACTCTGGCCAATCAGCTGAGGCAGGTACTGTGGCTTAGGCTGCACTGGAGCCCAGGGATAGAACACTCATCAGTTGTGATCAAAAGGAAGAGTCACCAAGGACAGGAAAGACGTCACCAGAATCCCAAGATTTGAGTCAGAAAAAGATTTCCTAGAAAAGATAAGTTGACTGACAAAACCAAGTGCCGACTGTGCAACATGCAGATTATTGAGTCAGAAGCCTGTTTATAGAAGGTACAGTGGAGAAAGGAGGTAGTGAGGCCAGCCACATCCCCTCTCCCTCGGGTTCTGAAGACAGATCACATCTCGGTAACTACGGGACTCCTGCTGGGCTGTGGCTTCTGCTGCTGAAACCCTAACGGAGTTCACTCAGGGAAAGCCGAAGCATTCCATTGGGTCTCAAAGCACCCCACAACGATCAGTGTATACTGCCAGATGCCCACCCCCTAGTCAGCTCTCAGCACCTCCTCCCTCTTGCACCACAAGAAGGAGCCTAATCTTCCCAGTCCCCATCTCCATGAAGGCTACTTAATGAGAGGCAAGGGTCCGTAGGTCCACACAATCCTAACCTTGCCTCATCAGACACTGGGGATTCCATCCCACCGGCCCCTTGGTTTTCTTGTTCTTCCTAGAGCAAAACATAGCAGCACCAGAAATTAAGACATTTTTCCAAGCAGTCATCTCTAAGAATGGAGCACAAGTTTCCATCTTCGGTTTTCTTATCTCTCTACTTGCAGCACGGAAATATTGCCTACCCTTGCTCTCAGGGGCTCATCTGCTTGGACACAATAACCACAAACAGAACTGCAAAGTCCACTGTTGATTACCTATGGCCCACACTGATCCACAAAATAGGCCCAATGGGGGTTATCACAACCAGTTAGATGACTGACTGTTAACCCTCAGCAGAAGGACTGAACAGGTCTGACTACACCAACCAGTGACTGATGATCACTGTTTACCCAGAACTTTAGTAGAGGCAGCTAACTACACCAACCTCTGGTATTTATGTAAACAGTGTTGATGCTCTGTGAAGAGCTTTTTGTTCCTCTCTCTCTCTTTTAGAATTAGAGCTCCTGCCCCTTTTTGAGGTTGGAATTTGTTCCAATTGGCAGCAATCGTTGCTTTTCACACTCCCTTTGCCACTGTCTGGTTACAATCACGAGAGGGGTCCTTTGCTGCTCACACTACACTCTGTCCCCATCATTGCTAATTTGAAAATTCGGAAGAATCTGCTCATCTCCAAAGGAGGTATCAGGCCGTTCTTGCTTTCTCAGCATTTGCTACCTCCCAAGTTACCCTCGTTCCACTTGGTATTAGAGAGTGTAAAGACATCCTCGTGCTTGGGCTGGATGTTTATCGTTTCACAGGATTAATAGTGACCACCAGAAGGAAAGCAGTGGCAGTCTGGACTATTCCAGCCACAGGACGGGAGACTGTTCACCATATGCATTTATGCTGATGCTTTCGCTTTATCTTTCACTCACTTATCTTCTTCTAAATCTAGATCTTCTGAATCAAATGTCACCAACTTCTGCATGTCATAATATATATTGCCCCCCCAAACTGAGCTTCAATTACAGAGCGGCCCCCAGATTTTCAAGCATAATCATTCTCCTGCTAACTTCTGGCCATCAATTGCCATCAAGCCAGATTATGTGATTCCACACTCTTTACCCATTTACACATCTATCCACTAATGCCCCAACCAGAGGCTCACCTCTTATTAAACCTATTTTCAAATGTCATTAAAAAAAAAAGTTTATTTATTTTGGGAGAGAGAGAGTAAGAGAGGGAAGAGAGAATCCTAAGCAGGCTCCATGCTGCCAGTGCAGAGCCCAATGTGGGACTCGAACTCGTGAACTGTGACCTAAGCTGAATTCAAGGGTCAGTTTCCTAACTGAGCCACCCAGGGGCTCCAAACCTATTTTCAAATGTCTAACAGTGCAGCTTACTCTACCATTATAGTTATGTGACCTCTTCTGGCACTTATTTAATATAACACACTTCCAGAAATGGATATGCTGGTAAAGTTTATTTACATTACATTCTATCATGTCAGTCACGTTTAAGTCCTGGAGATTTGTATTTACATATAGCATAGAGTACATTCCTGCAGAATTCTTTTTGTCTTAGCAAAACAAAAACAAAAGCAAGCAAACAAACAACAACCCCAACAAAACAAGATGCAATTGATCTGACAGTTGGGTAGCTTAATGAGCATCATGCTTCTTTGGGGGTCTCATCTGGGATTTTAGAATGAACCGTATCCAAAGGCTGCCAGTGGCAACTCATGAGAGAGTCATAGAGTTCCTCACTTTTCACCATAAACTCCTTGTTCAGTTCTTCAATATTCAAATGAAGATCTGGATCTGCAGGAGCCAATAACGCAGATGGAAGAAAAAAAAAAGTGTTACAGGACACATATTAGAAATGGCTTGAAATGAGAGTTTCATAAAAACATCAGCAGGAAAATATTGCAGACGTTTCACATTAGAGTTTTTAAACTGCACGTTTCCTTTCAAGAAGAGTTGAAAATACAAATGGGAGCTGGGGAAGTAGCATGACCAGGCTCAACCAGCATCCCTGTGCTGGAAGAGATGGAGAAAATGGACGGATAAAGAGATGTTTTGGAGATGGATGGACAGTATTTGGAAATGGGTTCAATTTGGGGCAAAAGAGAAAGGGAGGGTCAAGGATGCGCCCTAAGTTTCCAGCACGAGCACCTGGGTGGACAGGACACCAGCGAGCCAGGACTAAATCTGCAGAACGGGGCTTTGAAACAATAAACATGTTGCTTTATTTGCTTAATTAACAGATTGACATAAGTGAATAAATTGTTTATAGCAGCCCATTCAGAAACAGAGGGGGGGGCGCCTGGGTGGCGCAGTCGGTTAAGCGTCCGACTTCAGCCAGGTCACGATCTCGCGGTCCGTGAGTTCGAGCCCCGCGTCGGGCTCTGCGCTGATGGCTCAGAGCCTGGAGCCTGTTTCTGATTCTGTGTCTCCCTCTCTCTCTGCCCCTCCCCCGTTCATGCTCTGTCTCTCTCTGTCCCAAAAATAAATAAACGTTGAAAAAAAAATAAAAAACAAAAAACAAAAACAAAAAAACAGAGGGGGGCACAGGCTTCCTTCTCTGAAACCTGGAACCCTATGGTGAGGCGGTGTTAAGTTACCATGAAAGCCTCAGACCTAGAGATTCATTCCAAGTTGTCAGGTTTCCAAGGTGCTGAATGCCATCCGTTTTTTCCTCTCCTTGTACTGAATGTAATTGAAGCAGCCCTTGCTGTGTTCCTCTGTAATGTTTGCAAGCCTTAGCTCATTCAGGACCATAATTTTTACTTCCTAATACTCATAAGGGACCACACTATTCATTTGTATTTGTATGACTGTCCTGGACTAAATATTTGTGCCCCCTAAAATTCTTTGAGACACTTACTTCCAATGCGATGGTATTTTGGAGATGAGGCCTTTGGGAGACAATCAGGGCTGGATGAGGTCATAAGGGTCGGGCCCTAGTCTGATGGGATTAGTGCCCTTATAAGAAAGGACACCAGTGATGGTGTTCTATGTTTCCCCCACCATATGAGGACATAATGAGAAGGAAGGTGGCCGTCTGCAAGCCAGGAAGAGAGCCCTCACCAGGCACTGAAGCAGCTAGTACCTTGATATTGGACTTCTCAGTGTCCAGAACTATGAAAAATAAATGTTATTCAAGCCACCCCATCTGTGGTATTTTGTTACAGCAGCCTGAGCTGACTAACATCCTTCTGTGATTTTTTTAGAACCAAGATTATCAACCGTCATCATAGGCCTAAAGCATCATATAAGTTTCATGAGCTACTTCCCACTTTTCTTCCCTGGAGTCATTTGTGACTGTGTTGTCTGATTTTTATTGTTTAGAGCTTCCCCTCCCTTTTTATCTTTCCTTTGAGAGCATCTGGTCATAAAATTAGATTTTTTTTTTTTTTTCTGAGCTTTCTGAAATTCTCTTTCTTAAGGTCATGCCCCAGGGTTCTTTCCTTCACCGTTATGGGCAGGTGTTTGTGAAAAGGCTCCTGACTTAGGTTCCTGGTCACAGGAAAGGTGTCAGGACCACACCCATATAAGTACTGCCTGTCCTCTAACCTGTGGCCTAGAAACAGACACAGTATGGTCAGCTATGAACCCCAGATTAACGATTTAGGCCCTTCCAGTGACATTGACCCTAGTGGTAGAAGAAGCCCATAAAAGACAAACAAATACATCTTCCCTAAGCCTGGTGGACCTCTAGACCAAGCTAATCCAGCAGCCCCTATCCACATGTGGTTATTGAGCACTGGAAATGAGGTTAGTCCTTATCAGAGAGGTGATGTAAATATGTACTGCATTGCAAAAACTTGGTATTAAGCTTTTTAAATTCCTGGGGTGCCTGGGTGGCTCAGTTGGTTGAGCATCCGACTTTGGCTCAGGTCATAATCTCACAGTCCGTGAGTTCGAGCCCTGCATCAGGCTCTGTGCCGACAGCTCAGAGCCTGGAGCCTCCTTTGGATTCTGTGTCTCCTTCTCTCTCTGCCCCTCCCCCACTTGTGCTCTGTCTCCCTCTGTCTCTCAAAAATAAACAAATGTAAAAAAATAAATTAATTAAAAAAAGATTTTTTAAATTCCACTTATTTTTATATTAATTACATGTTTAAATGTAACCTAATATACCTGAAATATTTCAAGCATTGAAATTAATTTCATGTTCCTTTTTAGTGGTTTTTTTTTAATTTGCCTACTAGAAAATTTAAAACTCTCTATGTGGTTGGATTTGTGTTTAAATCACATTTGCCCTGGACAGAACTCCCCCCCACTCTACGAAGAGCTTATACTAACCACCAAAATTGCTATTATCTGCCAGATGAAGTTAAGACACTTAAAAACAGTTTAGAGCTATTGTCACACTTTGTAGGAGGTTCGTTTTCACATCCCATTCCACAGATGGGGCCCTGATGTCCTAGAGGGGAATTTGCCTGGAATTACAGAGCTTGTCAGGGAGATCTGAACCCAGACGGTCTGCATCCAGAAAGCACACTTATTGTGGGTCTTTCTCTGTAATTTTTATACCGTCCGCAGGACTGGAGAAGGCAGGGAGAATGGATTCAGGCTTTAACCAGAATGAAATTCCCCTGAGAGATGGAATGCGTACCTTTTATTCACATTTCAATCAAATGTATTTGGATAAAACTAGAACTCCCCCGTAGCATTTCAAGGTTTCTTTTAAACATCAATTTCATTTGAACACTGAGCACCTGTTGACTTGCTGACTTTGTATTAGTCTCTGGGACTACAAAGACAGCTGTTCTCACCTTTGATGCAGTCACGAGGCAGTGGGGGGGGGGGGGGGGGTTGGTCTGCTGGGGGTCCCCTGGGGGTGGAGGAAACCACCAGATGGCCATGTGATAACACAGGCAGGTGGTAAGAAACTGGCAAAGGTGTTCTCTCTGAGGGTCTCTTCCATTTTTCTTGCCTGTAACTTAAGTAAAACAAGCCACACATTTTCTCCCCTTCCTTGATTAATAATAGGGTCCTGCTCTGGGCATTTCGTGCCCATGCACTTTCTTTCTTTCAAAATAGATCAGGAACTACAAGGAGCACTGCCTAAACCTACAGACTGGGCCTGTGAGGTCCCCCAGGAACCAATAACCCTGAGGGAAGTTAGGAAGCCAAAGTCACAGTGATCACCTCCTACTTCTCCCCTTAAAAATCAAAATTAAAGCATTACTAATCCCAACGTTTAAATTTATGGAGGAAACTGATCTTAAAAACAATTTATTGTCTTTTTATTGTTTGGAAATGTCCCCATTTCCTAGTCCTTCAGAAAGACCCAAACAGGTGGCTTAGCTCAAGCTGCCCACAGAAACAATTTCCAAAAACCAGATGAACTGCTGAAGAAAATGGCTTACGCAACCTACGTAGGAATTTTCCAGTAGAATCTCTCGGTTTCGAGCCAGTTGAGTAATGAGTAACCTTGGGAATGGATTCGTTTTGTTTTCAACCATGGCAACACAGGGTTTACGTTACCTTCCAGTGGGTTTTCGTCTTGCTTTTCTGCCAGAGCCGTGCTTTCCTACAAGGAAATCAGTATGTTAAGAAAAAAAAAATAAAGATTTACTATCAACACACGCTTTTAAAGAAAACACTCACTGTCAAAAATAATATCTAAGACACTGAACTCCCTTTAGATCAAATTTGTTTTGAACTTTGATTTGAAGAATCTTTAATAATGACCACAGTTATGAAATAGGTAATCTGAGTCAACAGATGAAAAGTCACAAAGGAGGAGCATGCCTAACCAAGGCCTCTGGCCTCCCTGAAGCTTCTGGAACTAACTGGCATCCTAGGGCCTGGGCTAGGAACTAGACACCAGGGACCCTGGCATCCAGACTCCGCGGTCCCTGCACTAAATGCCCAACTCTCTGTCTGGACCTCTGCCCCTATTTCCAGATGACGACTTGTAAAATCTTCACGAGCATATTCTCTCTAGGGCCTTCTAATCACACCTGGACCCCACAGCTCAGCTAAGGACCGGGACAATAGGTGCTTAAGCAGATAACAGAGACTACAGAAGAGCTAACCAGTCAATGAGAGAAGTAAATTCGAGAAGCACTCCCCAAATAAATCTTGTTTGGTTAACCCAGACCCTATTGGCTCTCCTGGGACAGGGTAAGTTTCTATGACTCCTCTCCATAGGCACCTGTTGGGAAGTGTTTCTGTTAAAGATGTACAGCTGTTCCGAGGAACCAAGCCATCCAGGAATAGCCCAGGTAGCTCCTGGGACCCAATGAACTTCATGAAGCCTCCCTTGCTAAGAAGAACAAGTTTATACTGAAAACCAAAGAGCCGCTGTCTCTTCTTTTCAATCTGTCAGAAAGCATCCCTCCCTTTCACTCTGAAATAGGTCCTGGTTTGGAAAATAAGTTATGTAGTTACCATAAGTTCAATCTCACCATTGGTGTATTTTTTCCTATTTAGAAACAGCTAAGACAGCCAGAATCAGGGCTTAAAGGAGGCCTTTCTCGTAACACAATGCCCGAGTAACCTCGCATTTCCTCCTTTGCAACGTGTGCTCAGGTAACTGTGGATCTCACCTGACCGGGATGCAGGGAGCAGGTGCTCTATGGAGACAGAGCATTCTCTCTGGTGTGAGGGTCACCTGGGCAGTACCTGCTGTTCTTGAAGAAGGGCACATCTACTAAATTTCGCTAGTGGTTTTGCTAGTGTTCTGCTAGCAGGGTGCTAAGTCTGCTGGTGGGAGTGTGGGACCATTGCGCTGGAGGAGCCCAAAGACCTGAGAATCATTTTGAACACATCCACTCCCTCTGATCTAAAGACACAATGTCAAAACGCGCAGGGCTCTCGGGAGGCTAACCTCTTACCCTGGAGACACAAGCGTTAAGAACACCAGCGTGCCCCAGAGGGGGAAATGGGCAATAGAGCTGGGACATCTGGCAGAGGTCATCCTTTCTGAGGCAAGAATAAAGCGAGGGCACTCGGGAGTGACAGAGGCCCACGGCAAAGCCTCACCGTTGTGAATACTGCTGAACAGCTTCATGACTGGGGACTCCCACCAGGAAAGCAGGCAGGTGGCACAAGTGTGCTAACCACAGCCACGGATAGTGGATAGATTTCTAATTCTTGACACTGCGTGTTAAGAAAGGAAGGAGGGGGGCGCCTGGGTGGCGCAGTCGGTTGGGCGTCCGACTTCAGCCAGGTCACGATCTCGCGGTCCGGGAGTTCGAGCCCCGTGTCGGGCTCTGGGCTGATGGCTCAGAGCCTGGAGCCTGTTTCCGATTCTGTGTCTCCCTCTCTCTCTGCCCCTCCCCCATTCATGCTCTGTCTCTCTCTGTCCCAAAAATAAATAAAAACGTTGAAAAAAAAATTAAAAAAAAAAAAAAGAAAGGAAGGAGGGAAGAGAGAAAAGAAAGAAAGAGAAAGAAACTGCATGTTACGGTAATAATTTCACAGGAGAGTGGGATGAAAATCCCAGCAGGTGTCAACAAAAATGAGAAGAAAGGGTCAGGGGACAAGGAGACAAAAATGGTTAATTTCTTTTAAAAATTTTATTTATTTAGGGGGCACCCGGGTGGCTCAGTGGGTTAAGCATCCGACTCTTGACTTCAGCTTGGGTCATGATCTCCGGGTTCGGGGATTTGAGCCCCGAGTCGAGCTCTGTGTTAACAGCACAGCGCCTGCCTGGGATTCTCTCTGTCCCTCTCTCTCTGCCCCTCTTCCGCTTGCCTGATTTCTGTCTCTCAAAACACATAAATAAACATTAAAAATGTTTTTATTTATTTACGTTTCTTTGTTCCTTTGGTGGTGTTGTTTCTTCCTATCTTTTCTTTCTTTGGTGTTAATTTTGTTTTCTCATGAGTGGGCAGAAATCAAGAAATACTTTCATTTTTGAAGTTGGTAATGCAGTCGAACCTATACTTCTCTATTTAAAGATAAGGGTAACCACAGGAAGACACAGAGACTATCTCCCAAACTAGTGAAAAAGAGAAGGGGTAGAAGAAAAAAATGTGCTAAAACCTCAGGTAATATAGCAAAATTTTCTTTTTTAAGTGATGCAACATCAAACATCTGCTAACAGGGTAAAACCCGATCTGGGTTTAAAAAGAAAAAAAAGAAAACAAGAAATATAACAAGATATTTTATATGGAAGAAGGCACGCCTAAAACAGACTTGAAAAATTGAAAATGAAAGTTTGGGGAAAAAAAAAAAAAAGAAGATACCAAGCAAATGTAAGTTCTAAAAACTGAGTGTTGAAATATTAAATCCAACTCTGGGTTTAAGGTACAGGCCATCCCATGAGGAACACTAGGAAGCAAACTGGAGAGAACACTAACACTTTGACTGCTCAGTGCTAATTTCCATAATAGGCAAGCATCTGCACAGTCAGATAAAAGGGGGTATAACTAACAGAAAGAGAGGTAGACAAAGAACATTGATGAGGTCACAGAACGCAGGTATCATCAGGCAACAGCTTAAAAGGTATTTGCCCTCAATGGAAGGCAGACGCCTTCCACACCTGTCACGTTGATAAATTGCACACGGAGAGGCAAGCACACTCACAACAGCAATGAGAAGTGTAAACGTAGGCAGGCTTTTTGGTGAGTAATTCGCGATCTGAAATTTTCAATGTTACATCCTTCAATCCCGACCTTCTACTTCCGGCAATCTATCCTTAGGCAAAGAACACTCTGACAAATGCTTGGAGATCGGTAAACATTTGTTGAAGTGCTAAGAACATTTAAAATGTTAGCCCCCAAGGGATGAGCTAATATCACAGCTCGTCCAAATGGGCAACTTTTAAAGAAGCTCTTTCAAAGGGGGGACATCTCGGGGAGGCTGGGAGTCTCAGTTGGTTAAATGTCTGAGTCTTGACTTCCACTCACGTCACAATCTCATGGTTCTTGAGTTCGAGACCCTCACCGGGCTCTGTGCTGTCAGTGCGCCTCTGTCCCTCTCTCTTTGTTCCTCCCCTGCTTGCGCGCATTTGTGCACTTGTGCGTGCGTGCATGCTCTTTCTCTCTCAAAAATAAACATTCAAAAAAAAAAAAAATTAAAGGGGAACATCTGCTAATGCCACCTGCCAGCAGAAGCAAGGAGGAAACCAGTATGTACTACACAAGTTCATTCTTGTTCAATTCTCCGCAAACAGAAATAAAGCCCAATCACCCTGATTTAGCAAGAGTAGAAGGGAAAAATCTAGAGGACATGGGTGTCCTTGAACAGGGCTTTCTTCTAACTGGGGAGGAAATGGGGAAGAGGAAAGGGACAAGGACGGGGGAAGCTTTCTCTTATTCTAACACAGAAATCTGTGCAATTTCAGAAATAGCTCGCATTAGTAACCAAAACATTAGAACAGTTCTTTTCAATTTTTAAAAAATGCTTATTTAATCTTGAGAGAGAGAGAGGCAGAGTATGAGTGGGGAAAGGGCAGAGAGAGAGAGAGAGAGAGAGAGAGAGAGAGAGAGAGAGAGAATCTGAAGCAGGCCCCAGGCACGGAGCTGTCAGCACAGAGCCCTAATTCGCGAGCTGTGAGACCATGACCTGAACCGAAGTCAGGCGTTTAACCGACTGAGCCACACAGATGCCCTTGGAACAGCTCTTAAAAGGATGTTCATGTTTTCTGCTATTACAAAACAAAAAACTACCTCTAGTCCTATTTTAAGTGTTTAAGAGTAAAATCAAGGGGCACCTGGGTGGCTCGGTGGGTTAAGCCTCTGACTTTGGCTCAGCTCATGGTCTCGCAGTTCATGAGTTCGAGCCACACATCCGGCTCTGTGCCGACAGCTCAGAGCCTGGAGCCTGCTTCAGATTCTGTGTCTCCCTCTCTCTCTGCCCCTCCCCCAACTCACACTCTGTTTCTCTTCTCTTTCTCTCAAAAATAAACATTTTTTTTTCTAAAAAGAGTAAAATCAAATGAGTGGTAATCTAAAATTTAGCAGTAAGAATTTAAGCACGGACTTCATCAGCCTATAATTTTCTTTTTGGAAGACAGTGATGACTTAAATTGTGGGCAAATCATCTGCTTTTCCTCTCTGGCATTAAAATGGGGAGCAAAAGCCATGGCTGTGGGAATTTGAATGAGAGCATCCGGAGGTGTGAAGGTAGGAAAAAGATACCTCCATGCTGGGCTCACGGATGACACAGGATTCATTTCAGGGAGGGGTACCTTAGGTGTGACCAGACTTGCAGCTGGGTGTCCGGAGGTCTCACGCACAGAAAGGTTGTGTCCATCTCTCTCTGCACAGCCGTAGTCATAGCCAGAGAGGGAGTAACCGCTGTGCTGCTGCTCAAACCAGCTGCCCAATTGGTAACCCAGGCAGGGCTGGAACACGGGCTTCCCCCTAATGAGCAGAGGGGAGACAAGAATGACATCACCAAGCAAGGCAGAATCACTCAAAACTCTTCTTTCCCAGGAGGCTCAGGTAAAGATGATTTCTGCGTTAACTGTTTAAGGACACCAATTTCCAAAGCGATGGTTTGGAAATTGCCAAAAAGCACGGAAGAAACAGAGCATGGACACCCTTCATTTTCACTGGGAGTAGGACAGACCAGCTCACCTTTGCCAGTGCCAGTAATAAGTACTTGGTTGAGCTATGCCACAGCCTGCAAAACTCTCCTGCCCAGCCATTTATCCAGAAACTTCGCAAAAAGAGACCAGGTATCCACAGTTTTTATTCGGGAGGCAATAACTCCAGCTCTGGGGGCTAAAGCCTCTCACCCAGCAAATCTCTCTTCCGACTGCCAGAGAGAGCAATTAACATAGGAGCAGTTCCTGCTGGGTGATGAATTGCTTGACTTTTGTTACAATGGGGTTAAGGCATGGGTGGGGTAGGAGTCTATAGGGGTCACCTGGGGGGACCTTCTGCACGCTAGCAGCTGGCTCTAAGCTTGCCAGCGGCCTCTCCCAGCTCCAGGCCCAGGGGAAGGCAGCCGAAAGCCAGCGGGGGCACAGAGGAGTGCGTGTTGAGCAACTGTGAAACCCACTGAAGTCTCCATCCCACCCTCTACAATTATTGAGTCATTTGTAACAACGAAAACCGTAAAAGAAGTACCACACGTTGATGTTTCCCTCCTCAGTTCACTTATCTGCTAACTATTGGAAGCAGCAATTAGTGGACTTTTTTTTTTTTTAAATAGCTCCTGCAGGTTGAAATCATAACCCCGACCAACCGGTGGAAAGAAGTCCTAGAAGGAACACGTGAGCGCACGCGCGCGCACACACACACACACTAACCTACCCTCTTAATGTGGGTACAGGAAAACATTTTAAAGAAATAATACTGTGGCTCAAAATTATTTAAAAACACCAAATACAGCATGCCTTCCCAAATTTCAACGTGCATATGAATCACCTCAGCACGTTGTTTAAAACGTAGGTTCTGATTCCATAGGTTTGCATTAGAGCCTCACTCAGATTCTGCCTAAGTAGCCAGCCTACACAGTGTCCAAATGTGAGAAGGTAACTTTTGAGTCCAAATAGGGGCACTTCGGGTCTGGCCATTTCCCTGCAGCTTGTTAATAAGTGCTTGATGTAGTCTATATTTGCCGGTGTTGTAAAAAATAATAATCATGAATTCAAATCATTCAGTTATTCACCCATTATTTACTGAACAGCTACTTGTGCAAAGCAGGGTGATAGAGTGGGGCCTACACTCCAGATGTCCCCATGCTTCCTGGGAGAGTGATTAGCAGCTCTGCCTCAACTTGCTGGGTGCCAGCCACTATTCAGTTTCCTTTTCTTCCTTAATAACAAATCTCAGGGGCACCTGGGGGGCTCAGTCAGTTAAGCGTCCGACTTCGGCTCAGGTCATGATCTCATGGTTCGTGGGTTCGAGCCCCGCATCAAGCTCTGTGCTGACCGCTCACAGCCTAGAGCCTGCTTCGGATTCTGTGTCTCCCTGTCTCTCAAAAATGAATAAACGTTAAATAAAAATTTAGGGGGGAATAACAGCACCCTGATTTTTTGGGGGGGGGGGGCAGAGATAGGCTTCACTAAAAGACATTTCCTAGTTCCCCAAGCGTAGGTAGATGTGGCCGAGCGGCCAAAGTCTGGCTAATAAGATGTAAATAGAACTATTATAAGAGGATTGAGGACAGCTGTGTGGGCCAAGGGTGTTTGCTTAACTGGAAGGAGGCGTGTGGTACTCCACCCTTTCTCCGGACCTAGTGCTAGGATTAGAGATATGATGGCTGGAACCCAAACGCTGCACCTATTTTGGCCTATGAGGTGACATAAAAGGGGAAGCCATACACCGGAATATAGGATCTGAAAGAGAGAATGTGTCTGGGTGCCTCATGACTGAGGACTCCTTGTACCAGCACTAGATTGCCTCCCTCCAGATTTCTTTTACATACGAGATAAATGTCTTGTTTAATCCACGGCTGATTTAGGTTACTGTATGAAGTTAGACACAATTCCTAACTGTTAGAGCAGCTTAGCCTTCAAATAAAACCTATCTGTTGAGGATTCTTTCTGTAAAACTTTCATCAGTGTTTTGTTCCTTCTCTTTAGAGCTGGATTTTGTAAAAGGAAAATCAGAATGTTGGCTATAAATGGGTGAGCGATAAAGCCATCGCTGGAAAAGAAAGCAGAAGTTAGACGTTTATAATAAGGTGGTTACAGAGGCTGGGGAAGGGAGAAGTTAATGACGCGTGTCTGAATCCCCCAGCAGCGTGGCAGGAGCTGGGGACAGAGGACCAGGAGCAAAGCTCCAGAGAAGATGGACACTCAGGGGCTTTGTTGATGACAGCGACAAGGAAGGGTTCACAAATGCTGTTTCGCTCTTTAAAAGCCCCAAAGGCCAACTCCTCATATTTCACCTGTCTTATTCCCGTGAAGCAGGTGAAGCAAATTTATACCAGGACAGACAATTGGCCAGTGTCCAGGGGGAAGTAGCCCACTCTCAGCTTCTACGTGCAAAGGAGACAAAAAGTCCTCTGGGAATATGCACATGTACCTCTGTAGTCCTGAAAGTTAAGACTTGCTGCCTGCCACAGTGAGAAAGTGGGGGGGGCGGGGAGGGGTAATTGAGCAGAAATATGAGACTCTCATATTTCTAACATGGCTGATTTTTCTCTGCTGTATCCTGCTTTTTAGCAAAGCATGTCCACCTTACTACCCACCCCCCCCACCAAAAAAACTGTTTTTTCTTCAGCAAACCAAACAAAGCCAGGCACTCCATAAATATTTGTTGAATGAATGAATAAATCAACACACAGCTCAAGTGTAAAAAGCTTTTTGATCAATAATTTAAAAGCAAAACTAAAAAAAAAAATCCTGTTGTGCTCTAGTGTTAATGAACTCTTAACAGTTGGTTGTTTCTTGGCAACTGCAGTTTTCACAAGAAGAGGATTAAATGATTTTTTGCATCCTGTGTTTGGAAAGAGACCAGGTTTGCAGGAAGTATGCTCAGTTTGAATCTAGTTGAACAAGTATGTAATTTTGTATTGTTTTTCTTTAGACAGTGAAAAACTGCCTTATTTTTCTTGTTAAAGAGAAAGTTTGAGCCCAAGGAAATGTAAAAAGTAGCAGCATTATAGGTCTACTGTCCCTTAGCTGGGTGGTTTTGAGTTACCTTTCTAGACCTATTTCACATTTATAACCTCAGACTGGATTAGTGCATTAAAACAATTTTTTTTAATGTTTACTTTTGACAGAGAGAGAGAGAGAGACAGAGTGTGAGCAGGGGAGGGGCAGAGAGAGAGAGCGAGACACAGGATCCAAAGCAGGCTCCAGGCTCCAGGCTCCGAGCTGTTAGCACAGGGCCCGACGCGGGGCTCGAACCCACAGACTACGAGATCATGACCTGAGCCGGTCGGAAGCTCAACCGCTCAACTGACTGAGCCACCAAGGTGCCCCAGGATTAGTGCATTTTAACTTTAGAGGCACTAATCCTTTTGAAAATGTAATGAAATTTTATCAGTGCTCTCCTTCAAAAATGTACATAAACAATTGTGCATCTAATTTCAAGGGCTGGAGAGCCCTCAGAACTTATCCATAAACTGCCCTAGAGCGGGATCACCTGGATAAATGCTTCTCTAAGGTCTTCCGAGCTCGAGAATTGGTTCTGACGATTTCTAACAGTTTTCAAGATAAAACATGAGACTTCAAAGAAATGTCCTATTCACTCATTCTTTGTCCCATGCCCAGCCAACATCCACTGCACCTATTCACACCCCCCTCACTTTGGTAGGTCTCTGGTGGACACAGGAAGGAGATGGTAAATAGGAAAATAACTTAAATAGTAAGATAACCTGGCTTTTTTTTTTTTTTTTAACATAATGAAGATAACCAGCACGAAGCGAAGGAATTAGTTTAAAACAGTGAATGACTACACTGTTTCCGAGACAGAGGGTTAGTTTGACGACAGCATTTTCAGTGCCTGGGGAGCGCTTACACGTGGAGTCGCTAAAGCCTACAGAAGACAAAGCCTTCCCTGAGTTGCAATGACACCCAAAGCATTCAAAGAGTCATCATTTCTACAAGACCCAAACCAGCGGAAATTAAAACAAACACGAGTTAGACACGTAGCGACAGTTCAGAATACCAGAGAAACACATAGTCTTGAAAACAAAAGGGTCAAAGTGCTGATCCTGTAGGATCCTGTAGGGTCAGCACTAAAGCGGGGGTTGAAGAACTGACGCCGAGGATGCCATCCGAATTCCTGCTTGTCAAATCCACCTGCTATGAGACTAATTATGAGACTAATTATGACGCTTCAGGATTTACTCCGATTTGTGCAAAGCTGTCATTTCAACAGACCTCTGAATCTCCACACGTTATGAGAATTGCAAATGCTAATTAAGGCGATCTTGGCTTTCATGCATGTTTCATGTGGTCCCTAAACTGCGGGGCGGGGGGTGGTCAAAGTGAAATGGGAGATCTCCTTTTGGTACATTCACCTACGATGACTGCGGACTTCGTCCTCAAGCAGCCCGTGTTATCACTTCAGGTAAAGCGTCCTCCTCCCTCCCCGGGATGTGCGGCGACGTTGGCCAATGTGACCCCGAAGTCAGACAAACCAATCAAGCTAGTAGGAAAGGTGTGCGGCCTGCTTTAGAAGCCGCTAACCATGAATGCCGACCCCTCTCTGCCCTGTCACGAGAGAACGTGAGAGACAAACGCTTGCTTATGCTGCCTGCGCAAAAAGGAAACCCAATTGCTGTCCACCGTCTGACAGTCCACAGCACAGCGGGCTCGGCACTCAGCACGCGACACCGCCAGGGGCCCCGCCCAGACCGGAAGAGGTCCCGCCCTGTTCGTGACGTCACGGAAATGAGGGGCTTCCGCAGAGGATGTCCCGCCCCATTCCCCTTTAGACCTGCCTACCTCACAGGCACCTAGAATATGCCTGCTTGCCCCCAACATTTTTATCCTCGCCGTGAGAACTTCCTCGTGTGACATCCTTTCTTTTTTTCCTTTTGGAACTTCCGCGTGATCTTCGAGCGCTGAAACCGCTTCCACGGAGGCAGGCGCCCTAAAGGCAGCCCTGCGCCCATGACGTAATTTGAGCGCCGACGCAGGAAGGACCCCACTTGCTCTGGCATCCGCTTTCGTCACTGTCTCAGCTGAGCGGCGCTGGTTGAAGAGGCACGTGTGCTGCTGAATGGAGCTGGTCGCTGGTTGTTACGAACAGGTCCTTTTTGGGTTCGCAGTACGCCCCGAGCCAGCTGCAGGCGGCGACCACGAGGTGAGAGTGCGCGCCGGGAGGGACCGCGGGAGGAGG